TTTTTACCAAAAATTGCATTTCCTGGATCATTTTCAAGGGCTTTTCTTCTGCAGAGCTCTAGTAGATCATTAGCAATTCACCTCTGAGTCGTGGGCGGAGACAGCACTGCTCTGCACACTCGTCTTCACATTAGCTTGTAGCCTAACATTGCCGGCGTAGTAGAAGTGGCAGGTAACATAGGAGCTATTCAGATCTCGGATCAGCTCGTTATCAAGCTCTGAAATGGCTTAATAACGAGCTGATCATTTGAATCAGGTGTGTTGGAGCAGGAAAACATCCAAAACATTCAGGACAGGGGGGCTCGAGGACTGGACTTGAGAACCACTGCCGTAGGCGGAGATTAAAAAGCCATTTTTTCAGTCAGCTTCTTATATCGTTCCCCTTTGTGTAACACTACTTTGGGCACACGATAAAAGCTCTTGTTTTTTTCCCTGTTCGATCCGTAAACGGAGCAAAACATCGGCATGTTGCTGGTCTCAATAGCAGCAACTCACTTCCTGCCCTCCATCTGTGTTTCGCGCATGCCGCGTTACATGGAAGTGACGTCAAGTGAAAACCTCCTATATACATATCTACCATTAACATGTCACTTTTATTGCTACATATACTCAAATTCAACCCCCAATTACATTATATATTTTTTAGTAAATCCAGCTTGTGTTTATGTGTTTGAGAATTAAAGTAAAGATACATTTCAATTAGGGTCCTTGTTCACTTATTATACTCCTATTTTTTTGAGCCGCTTTGACAAAGAGGATCTGTAATGTTTTTTTTTTTTTTGGTCATTATTTCATTTCAGCTCTTTTTCCTGAGTCCTCAGGCATTTATTTTTTTCTGCATTTGCCTGCTGATTGTAAGAGTATAGTTGTGTTATTTTGTACAAAGTTTGAGCCATTCTGAATTCCCAGTTCACTGTTAGGAGTTTGTTAAAGTGAGCAGCGGGACAGGTTTCCAGTCAATCATACAGTTAAAACATAGAGACAAACCAGTCACACCCATACACAGTTTAAACAGACAGATAAACATAACTAGCATGTCTTTGGAGTGTGGGAAGAAACCTGAGAATGTCTTTAGAGCTCATATATGCCCAGGGAGGACATGCAGACTACCTGCTATAAGGCTAACCAACTCACTACTGAGCAGCCCTCAACCCTCAGTCCTTGTTTGACATCATGGTATGAAAGCTCCCGGGAGGAGTTTAGAGCTCTTATGAAACAGACTGAAATGAAAATTGATGACTCTTTATAGAAACAGTTAATCCTAATACTGATGGTCTGGTTTGTTTTTGAAGTTATCTTTGATCCCTGTAATCGCTGCTGCGGGGTCAAACGAGGTGATTGACAGCCTGCTGCAGGGATTACTCGTCACTTTTGACAAACAGCTTTGACTGTTAAAAGAAAGCAGGATGAGGAAACACTTATCATTCTTGGAGCTCCTGTAATGCATCATGCAGGGGAGACATAAACTCTCAATGAAGGCGTGGAGTATTACATAATTGTGCTCTTACTTTGTTTATGTTAATAGTTTGTTCAAGGATTCAGCTCTAGCCTTGTTACAATTAACCCTGCTGTGTTAGATACTTGAATCTGGTTAGTCAAAACCCCATAAGAACTATGATTGCTCTGAACAGCACTCCTCAGCACAGTCAGCTCAGTCTCAGCAGATGTCTAACATGAGTTTGGTTCTGCTTGAGGTTTCTGCCTGTTAAAAGAAACTCTTCCTCTTTGCTACAACTTGATAAATGCTGTAAAGTGCTGCACTCACGTGACTGAAGATGGGGTGGGAGTTGGTCTGATCTCATCTTGATGTCAGGTCACAAAGAGTTTGGTCCAGACCGGCTTTTATGTTGTTAGCATGCAAAAGCACATTACACTGCTTCTGAAAACTGCTTCAGGGATAGAAAAAAAAATAGAAAAAGGAGCTCAAATTTTATATTATTAAATAAGAACATAAAATACATCAGAATAAATTCCAGCTGAGGTTGGTGGTTGCCACTTCGGCTCATTATTTAACTTTTCATTTACCCATCGTTTCAAAAGAGTTAAGAGTTCACAAAGCTGTCAGATTATTTTAATAACCATAGAGGTAATCTTTGGCCTCATATGAACTGAGTGACAGATAATAAAGGAGAGGTGTAATATCTTTATTCCCCCAAACAGTGTAATTTTCAACCGATCATCTTGGTTGGTCAGTTTGGAGCACCATAGGCGACCCCATCAGGCTGATAAATTCTGTGGTTTTATTTAAATTACTGATACATCCTCCCGCCTGGAGACATTTCTATCCGAACAACACTGAAAATTCTGTTTTGAAGACGCTTTCCTTAAAACAAACACAAAGCCTTATACAGAGTCAGACTGTTTCATAGGTTTTTTTTCTTTTATCTTCTTTCCAGCAGATCAGTCTGCTCTCTGAATATTTTCTTGATTGTGGGTCATTTTTTAGCTGCAGGGACTTTAACAGCAAATTAAGGCCAACAATCTCACATTCATGAAGGATCATCTTATGTATGTTTGGTGCTGAGTGAACATGAGTGGAGTCTGTGTGTGGGCACAGAGCTGTAGCAAATGTAGAGAACAAGAAGGTGTTTTTCGAGCACTCAGAAACACAGGAGTTACAGAGTCAGAGAACAGAGAAGAGTTTAAACATGTAAAGATCAGGATAACGGCGGTATGAATCACTGTCATCTTATAAGTCATTAATCCTCAATTTGATTTAATTCTATTTGGATCATTGTAAACAATCCAAATATGAAACAACTCAAAACACAGTTATGTGCTGTTTCCTGGGCTCCTGAACTTGCATTATGGGATAGGAACCATGTGACATGAGGCATATAGGGGACATAGCGTCACATTGGAATAGACTTCTTTATATGCTGGGTAACAAACTGACGAACAATTGAATTTACCCTAAGGGATCAATTAAGTTTTTCTCATCTTATCTTCTTATTTTGAACGAATCCTCTGTCAGCGTTTTTTTACACAGCTGTACTCGACAGTGAAGATATCCAATTTATCCACAAAACAATACGGGCCAAATCAAAACACAAACTTCTGAAAGCTACTTTTACAAACAGAAGTCCTGTGTAAGCAAGTCTCTGTCTCAATAATGTCACATTTTCCTTGAAGAGAAGCGTGATTGACCAGTTTATAGTGGAATTTGTTGAGGACCATGTTTATCCAACACTGTTCTCAGTTAAAGGCATGGTTGACGATCTGAGAGGCAGTTGTAAAAAAAACTGAGCCGTTGAGGCAGATTTGAAAAAAGCGTCCCAGCCCCCACACACAAACCTCTCCCGTCTGTGCTCCACAATAACTCCCCAACTGAATCTGTATTGCCCTCCCCATGACATACTCTCTCTGGCAGAGCAAGAAGCTGGCCAGCAGAAGCTCCTACGCTAGCTTCAAGTAGGATTCACCATGTTGGATTGCTAGTAACTAGCAGCAGTAAACACCAGCTTTGCTAGCGAGCACCGCCTGCAGCTGCCTGGACAGCTAACATGTTGACATTGCAGAGACTAGTAAGAGTTATTTATGTAACATGTGCCACCATAAAAGGCAAAAATTACCTGTTCAACAAAAACTTTGCTGTCTCGGCGTCTGTTTTCGGGCCCAAATCCTGGTGGAGCTTTCTCCACCGCTCAAAGGATGATTCGTTGTTTTCTCGAGTTAGACTCCCCTTTGTCTCTGCCCTTATTTCTGTTGGCTTGTGTTTTCTTAGCACTTTTGGCGGTGAGGCAAGCAGAAGTGTTTCTTTGCTTCCTTTTCCATCACAGCTCCTGTAGCTAAGCTGCTATGCTACTTTTAGCTGCTCAGAGCTCTGAGGAGAGCTGAGAGAGTGGGAGGGGATGAGCCGGAACTGCAGGAGAGGGGTGTGTTAAATACAGTGAGGTGATTGGATGGAGAGGCGGAGCAGGAAGTTGACCAATAGGAGCTGTCTAGGACGGATGGCTCCTATTGGTCAATGTTTTTGCAGTCCTGCACCTACTAGGGTGAACAGATTTTTTCCATTCTTTTTTCTCTTTATACTTTGTGGAGATCGCACTATAGGACCACAATCGCCATAGAAACAAGGTTCATAATAATTACCAATCTCTCCAATCATCAGCCATGCCTTTCATGAGTGAAAATGAGCTGCACCAGATTCAGCTGACTAGCTAAATTCCATCTGCACTTGTTTCTACTGTCATAATGACTGTGTGAATGTGGATTTGACAGTCTCAGTCTGTTTGTATCTGGTGGATTTCAAACCTGAGTCTGGTTCTGCTCAAGGTTTCTGCCTGTTAAAGCAAGCTTTTTATTTTTTTTTTCTTGCCAATGATGCAAAAATGCTACAAACTGCTTTTCTCATAGTAGATTAGCAAACATTAAAATTGAATCTAATCTTGATGTTTGATGTTGAATAATTTAACAATAAAGCAAAGAGCACAGTCTGGAACTTGAGATATTCATGGTGAATTAATCCTAAATATGAATTTCAAAAATGAAGATTGATTCCAAGCAACTTCTGATGAGTCCAGAAACAGAAAAAAAGTGGAGTTGCAGTCTGCCAAATGTCAGCTTTCATCTTAATTTGCCAGGCCCCATAACACATGTGTGTAGCAACTAAAAAAAGAACTAAAATAAGGTGTTGAAACCACTTTTTATCCTGCTGTAAAATAGTCATTTTAAAGGCTTTTAGAGCTCACTGCATATTGACACTCTGGGAACTTCTTACACTTTTATATTTGCTTCTCTTTCAGGACCCAAACTGATCAAACAAATACCTTTAAATGTTCACAATCTGTCTCTAATATGGAAGTAAAGACACAAAACACATCCGCTCTTTTTACAGTTTATTGTATCTATATGTATATATATAATGATATATATACATATATATAAAACTACAAAAGTAAGACTGTTTCAAATTCATAGACAGCTGTCCTTTATCTCAAATACTATACGTATATAAATACATACATACAGTATGTATCTATATACTTTATATATATAATCTACAGTCCACATTTGTATCCCAATACAGTGATCAGCTGACTGTTTCTCTCTTTGTGATCTATTGCATAGAAAAAGGCACAGCTCAGAGGTCTGTGTAAAATACAGCCTTCTAAGAGGAAATCAGCCTCCACTGCGGTCAGTCTATCTCTGGGTTTCGAGCCGCAGCACGCTCGGACAGCGCTAAAACAGATCCGGTAACAAACACTGATCAAAAAAGTCTCAGGAGCTCGAATGTTGTTCATACTATGTACATTACATTTGGCATTGAAGCGTCTATGACAGGCTTTGGAGTTTGACATCTGAAGGTTGGAGACGGCTTTTCGAGTATTGCTGCATGAACTGTTTCGCCTTCAACTGGAAAATGATGAACATAAAAGTATAAAATATGTAAAAAGGTGGCTGCCACCCCACAAAAATCAATAACAAAGCAACCAACAAACAGATAAACAAGATAATATAACATCCTATGTATATAAAAAAATGGCTTCCACCCATATGTCCACACTCAGATACATTCCTATCTGAAGTACATTCCTACCAAACATTCTGTACACACATTTACAATCCAAAAGTTCACTTCACATCAAAAATAAATATATATATTTACACAGAAAAGAAAAACAATATGAATAAATAACTTCATTGACCCAAAAACAACCACTCCAAAATTCAAACATATTGAAAAAAACAAAAACAAAAAAACAAAAAACAAAAGACAGAGTCGTCTACAAACAGTTTCAGTTGGTGCGGCTCTCTGCTCGGCTCACGCCCTTCTGTGAATTCAGTTCATTAACACTCTCGCCGGGGATAAATGCGCATTGGAAAAGCAACGATCTTCCACTGGAGCAAGTTTTAACACCACACAGTAATATGAGTCAGACTGGACTCCAGATTACACATTCAGGCCCATTAACAACCGCTGAGTCCCACCAGCTGAGACCTCTGCCAGAAATACCATTAACATACCGTTTCACAGCAGAGACAGGCTGTTTGCAGTCATATGTGAGTTATCGGTTACCTTTAAACCAAAAAACATCCCTAACTATCGCCTCGTGTTCTTTACATCTCAGGCCCGCTGCAGCTTGTGCTGTTTTTTTCTGACATTATTGTAATAACTTGAAATGACAGACTACAGTGCACCACAGAAGAGAGTTTGGTTATCGAGTTAGAGGGATTTAAACTGTCAAAACTGGATATACTGGATTACTGTGCAGAGGTGGGCTATAAAGTGTCTTTTTTTGAGATGGTCTTAAAAGTTTTGCTAAAACTCTGCGTAGATGCCCTTTAGCTGTGCCTATAGCTGATAGTGAGGGAATATTTGGGTTCGACAGGAGGATAATGTGTCTGCACTGACTTTCTCTGTTCTCATTAAAAAAAAAAATATCGCTTCACTTTAGGTTTGAACACATTTTAGGTTTGTAAGTTTTTGTCTGCATGTTGGGTTCTTTCTTTGCTTTCATTTGCAGCAGATGTCTAACAACTTTTGCACATGCCTTGGCTTTGCACCTTTACGACTCAAAACTGTAAAATATCTCGGTGCTGTTCAAAGTTGGGCTTCCATTTAAAGGAAAAACGAGTCCGTGATCCGCTTCCTCTGTTTACTCCTAAAACAAGTTACAACCACCACGCTGTCGACATGGGCTTTGTACAAACATAAGTAAATTTGTGGCACTGCCATTTGGGATTCAAAATTGCATTTGTGGCTTTATTACAAATAAAACTGCAGTCTTTTTCAGCTAGTCACTGATGACCCTGACAGCACTTCACTACAAAAACGTCAATAAATTATCAACAAGGTTATGAACCATTTCTGTAAACCTGGGACTGAGGTGACTTGGGCCTTGGACTGTTCAAATGATCAAATATAACCTCAGTTTGATGGGTTGAAAAATGTAATGTTGGTGAAAAAGGACTATTTCAGACTTGAAAAAAGAACAAATGGACCCAACTAAAGGCGCAGTGCTAATAAAGACAGTATTCCTGATCTATTTGAAACTGAGCGTGTGTGTGTGAGTGTGTTCTGCTAGGAAGGAAACATTAAGACCTAAAGAATCCTTGTGGGACTCTGTTTTAAATGCTGCCATCACATTTTGTCTGTCTGCGCCAAAAATCATGCATAGTGGGCTGGCGGCATTGACAATTTGAAGTTTCCTTGTTAAGCGGAAATTATAGAAACACTCAAATTATTCACCAAACAGATTTAGATCCTCCTGCTATCGTTTGCATTTACTGCTGAACCCTGAGATTTGGCATGTGAGGCTCCTATTTTAACACAAGTAAACATACTCCGCAAACACAGGCTGTGTGTAATACTGTATACTCTGCTGTAATTTGTCTGTCACTCATGTTGCTAATTCTGCAGGGACCAAACCAAAATAAGACAATTCTCTAAAAAAACACAGAGTTTCTGAGAGATCCTACAGTCACATTTGGTACCACAATGACTTTCTCTGCAATCTGTGTTAGTGGTTTTTGTCTCGGGTCCAGTGCAGCCACATTTCATGTGTGTTTGAAGCCTAAAGTCTCTGCTTAGGTTGCAGTTTTAAATCATCTCTGCCCAACTGGGAGGCAAAAGCTGGTGGTGGTGGCGTCGCTGCTGCATCCAATGTAAACACTTTTGCAGTGGGTGTTGCTCATTTGAATTCTGGTGTAAGCGAAGCAGGGTAACCCGCGAGAAGGGCTGCGCTCATGTAAAACAGCATCGAAGCACAGTTATGTGCGCTGCCAATAAGAAAGAGAGAGACAACACTCCTGAACTGAATTCATAGACATGATGAGTTCGAGATCAGACCTCTCCTTCCACTAAAGAGTTAAACAAACACGCACAGGTGATGTGTTTTCAATATAATCCCAAAGCGTTAATATATAGCCAAGCTAAAATGTAATGAAGCACACAGCTAAAACCATGTAATCCAATAAAACATAGCATCTGTTATAAGATAAAGATTAAATAATTATTATTTGATCGTGAGAAATTACCTTCCTTAATCATAGTTTTAATACAATAAAAATAAATAAAAATCATTGAGGAGTGACCTCTCTAGGCTGTTAAAGTGAGAGAAATAAAATACTGTAAAAACAGGAATTGAATAAGTGGTCATTTAGAAAGGCACTCATCTGCTAAAAGCCTCGAAATCAGTGTGTGTCTGTGTGTGTGTACGCTTGTATTTCTATACTTGTGAGGATTAAGGTCCTCGCACTGATAGAGTGAGCAGGAGAAATTTCAGGTACAAGCTGCAGGCCCTCATTTCTTGTATTTACAGAGACAATTCGGGGTTAAGGCTAAAGTTCAGTTTAAAGTTTCAAACTTGGTTTAATTAGGGAATGAAATAGAGGTCCTCACAAGTGTAGAAATACAAACTTGTGTGTGTCTTTGCTGTACGTTTACTTCATTTCCATATTTGGAAAGGCGAGCACAGTGCATGCACAGTGTTGTGTAGTAGTAGTTGTCATAGTAGTACTGAATGACATCACCATTGATGTTTACAATTACCGACCTTTAAAGAGAGTAAAAAAAAAACAAACATAAAAACAACCAGACACCCCCCATCATCGTTTCTGTTTCAGTCCAGTCTGTCCTCCTGGTTTTTCTGTCTGAGTGTCTGAGGTGGGGGCATCCACCAGTCAAGACCCCACCAACACCTCCATTATGTGGTCCAGTTCTGTCAGATCTATTTTAAAAGGCTGATTGGCTGAAACCTGGGGGGCGGGGCCGCTGTACGGCGACGACAGCGATTTGAGGAGGTCGTCTGCCGTCACTACTGATGACAGTTTGGTGAGGCTGCCGCCTGCCGTCACACTCGCAGCCCCTGCTGTGGTACAGGGGTCAAAGTCATACATGGACGTGTCGATGTCGGCGAACAGGACATCGTCCAGTGCCAAGTCTGAGAGGAACCCCGTTGGTGAGGAAGAGGAGGGAGGGGATGAGGGAGAGGAAGAGCTGTCCACCAGGCCACCGGGGGGCAGTGTGGGGAGAGTGTCCATCGGCCGGAGCTCCACACAGCGGCTTTCTGCTAGCAAGACGCCAGCTGCCTCTGGTTTAGCACCCATGGTCCTGCAGTCTTTGAGTGAGCCCGTGTGTGTGGGGGAGAGGGGTGTCAGGTGGGAGGGCTGGGTGAGTGGCGTGGGAGCTGGGGAGGTAGTCACGGTCGTAGTATTAGCTGCTGCTGTCCTTGCTATGGCTGTGGGAGGGTCCAACTCCATGTCACTCAGAGCAGAGGGGAAGCTGTCATTGGACGTGGCGGGCACAGGGACCCTGGAGGGCGCCTGGCTCAGAAGCGCCGAGGGTAACGGGGGAGGCTGTGCTGGGGGAGGCGACAGAGGAGGAGTGGGAGGGGATGGAGCACAAAAGGCTGAGTCTCCGCTGTCCTCCTCCAGTAAAGAGGCCGGGGTGAGGCAGGCTTCCAGAGGGGCGGGGCAGACCTCCGCCCGGCTGAGGCAGCCCTGGGACGCCTGGGAGCTTGGAGGCACCATCGGGTGGGGTGAAGGCGGAGGAGCAATGACGGGCATCAGCAGCGCAGAGGGCTGGGATATCTGTGCTGTCGCTGACAAAACACCGAAGGAGGGCGGCGCCTCGCGGAAGCCCTCGTCCATTGGGTCGTCGGGCGGCGGCGAGGGCGGGAAGAGCAGCGGCCGCAGCGAGCCCTCCTGCTTGAGTTCGTCCTGGATGCGTCTCAGCATGTTGTTGATGAGGACCCGGCGCTCCAGGCTGGGCTCGCCGAGCGGCCGCTGGCTGTACAGCTTCATCAGGGAGATGTTGAAGATGGTCTGTCGCTGCAGGGTGTACGACACCTTAGACAGACCCTCCGGACAGAGGCCTAGTCCCCCTCCCGCCAGCGACGCCTCCAGCGTTTTGCCTTCCAGCCCCTCTTCATCCTCGTCCAGCTTCCGCTTCGCACCTTTACCGAACATAAATCTGGAAATCAGAAGAGAGATGACACAAGTTTAGAAGAGAGTTAAAAAAAAAAAAGGTACAAAATGTGTTTTAAAATATCCGTCAGTTTTGAGTCAAGTTCATAAATTTGGTCATAGTATCCGCAGATAGTGTCTCTGTTTAAAAAAGCTCAAACCTGAACTAACTGGACATATGTTTGAAATGGAGTATGACCATAGATTGTATATACCAGTGGTTCTCAAGTCCAGTCCTCGTGCCCCCCCGTCCTGCATGTTTTGGATGTTTCCCTGCTCCAACACACCTGATTCAAATGATCAGCTCGTTATCAAGCTCTGGAATGTCTTAATAACGAGCTGATCATTTGAATCAGGTGTGTTGGTGCAGGGAGGCGGGATTTATGACCTATACTGCAGCCTGTCAACAGAGGGTGCTGTTCTCGGAGAGGCTTCACCCAGCGAGGATGCAGACAGCGTCCATTCTATATACAGTATTTGAGTATGACCTATACGCGTCTCACTCACTGGACTTATTTTCATATTGTTAATGAGTTGTGCTTCTCTTGTCAAAAAAAGCTCAAATGCTGAAGGAAAATCTGCAAATTAGTCAAGGCGACGGGCAGTTTCTCTCAAAAATATCACAGCTGGAATCAGACTGTAGTTCAGGTTGATGTTTTGTGAGGCAAACAACTGCAAACTTTCAAATTTTGATGCAAATTCAGACAAAAAAATCAGCAAATCTGGACTTTTTAAAGTTGATACAGGCAGAAGTTTTGTATCATTGTGCAACACATTTTTGCTGTCAAGTGACTCATCAAAAAGTCCTCGTCTTCTTTTTTTTTATGTCAATAATCATTGATTTAGCCCTGGCTTGCCTCAGAGTTACAATTGCATAACCTCATGTTGAAATGAAATGGTTTCGCTGCACTTGGGCCAGTCCTGAAGATTAAATGTACCCTCTGTGGGTGTATGAACAAACACTGAAAGGTGATGGTTGGAATATTGTGAAAATTTGATCATTGTCAGTGATCAGAAGTCATTATTTTTCTCAAGTTTGTATATTTTGAAAAGTTCGTCTTGTTTCGGTGTCTTTTAGTTAGGAAACCAGCTGAAATCCTCTGATACCACACCTGCTCTTTGGGGACTTCTGCGTGATGTTTCAGATTCAGTAACGCCGCTGCAGGTTGTCAGCTTCAGATTATCCCTGTCATATCTCATCTCACCTTAAAGAAACACTGATACACTCGGCGGCGAAGTTTACAGATTGAGAGCCTGCAGCTTAACCGCGGTGATTCAAGAAGCTGCTTAAACGCAACAAGCTTACCGCAACAGGGGATTTAAAAAAACACACATTGAAACCAGGAGCAGCTGCAGTGGGAGCCTCACCGCTGCACACTGTAGCCCAGCAGCACTATCACACTCACACAGACACACACGCACACACACATACAAAGTTATGTAATAGCAGTGTTCCCTGCTGTAGCACAGGATCATAGGCCAGATTCAAAGCCCAACCCCCCTCCCGCCTCCCTCCCTCCTCCCTGCCTCCTCCCTGTCTTCGGCTTTAGCATTGGAACAGCACATTGAATTACTTATACCACTTTAAGACTGCATGCGTGTTTAACCCGTGTTGGGCTCATTCATACTGAGCAGCTGTCACCCTGCGTCTCACTGTTGTCAGAGGAGCCTCCAGGATGATGTGAAGCTTTGAACACCTCTTTGATAATACGCAGAAATAACAGAATATTTGAACAGGTAAAGCTCATATCTCAACCTCACTCAGGTCTCTCTCTCTCTCTTTTGGTCTTTTTGTTGACCGGCTTCATTTGGGAGCACATTGGCTTTAGCGTCTTGCTACAAACCTGAACAAATCTCAGCGTTCTCAGTCTTTTTGATTTGGTCCGACATTACAACTCTGTGCATGAGCATTTCAGGCTATTTCTGCATTTGCGACTACGGTGAACCTGCAAAGATTTACGCAAGAATTAATCAGGATTCACAAAAGAAAGCTGGCATCATCATCATCCTGTGCTTTCTTTGCAACACGAGTGTCAGATCTCTGCAGACAATGGACCATAAAGTTAGAAAGGAAGCACAAAGAGCCATGGTAACCGAGTCATGTTCTTTTTCTGCATCCTATATTTTAAAACCATCAAAAGAAATCTGTTGCTGTAATCAAAGTTTCTAACGGAGGTGTTATCAGAGCTACAGATGAAGAAAGAGTTTGATATGAAAGAGGGAGTAACAAAGAGGGAAAATAAGTATGAAAGAAAACAGGCATTGCTGCAGTGTTTTTGACTCTAATCCAGGCTGACAGGCTCATGCAGCCAGTCGCTGTCGACACACACATACACACACTCGCTCACTGCGCATGCGTCTCCTCACACACACACACACACACAGCTCCACACGCACACACACACACAGGAAGTGTGAGCTGCAGGCCCAGTCACCACGACTGGTTGGTTGCCATGACAAACAGAGTCAGCTGGGAATTCACCCAAAGAGATGACAAAGAATGGGATGGGGGAGATCGGGAGAAGGAGGAGGAGGATGAGGAGGAAGAGGGAGGGTAGGGTGGAGTGGGGGGGGCAGGAAGGAAGAGGAGGAAGACTGGGAGGTGGAGGAAGTAGAGGAGTAGGGTGAGAGATCGGTCTGGGAAAGGTAGGTGGGGAATGAGCTTCCTCCTCTCCCTTGACTCAGGGGACTGCTGAGGAGTCTGAGCAAAGAACTAAACCATGATGTCTCCTTTACCTCCACACTAAAGCTGCAGTTTTTTTCACAATATCTTACTAATGATCAATTACTTAAATAATCAATTAAACTCATGAAGCCAACAATTATTCCATGACATCTTTTACTTTCAGCCGTTGAAATGAACTCAAAATCTGCTTCTAAAAATCTGGATTTAAGCTAAATTTATGTCTTAGTTTTAATCATCAGTAGTTTTAATGTAAGAGAGATAGATTTGCTTTGATTCATAATATGCTCAGAGTTTGAAGTGGAGGGGATAAAAATGTAAATGAGAGAAAGTTCACTCTGCAGGGGGGGCTAACTTTGGACTGTTGAGCTTAATGTCTCAGCCAAAACATGTCCCAAATGCCAACTCTTATTAACATACTCCAATGATAAAATTATACTCAACAAATGAATGAACATTTTAATGTTTTATCTAGTTACATTACCTAGCCCTCATCAATCTGTTTAGATACATTAACTGTAATTGGTCAACCATTTCTTATGATAAACAATTGATTTTGTCAGCAAGTCCTTCTGTCATTGACTTAAGTAGGCAATGTTGACAAATCATCTTTATGAAGCACTGTAAAGAGTTTATAAATGTTGAATATCTGTTGGTTCCCTTAAGCAGGTTATCAGTGTTTGGGTAGTACCAGCACTACAAACAGTGTGTCGGTGTGATGGTACTGTCAGTGTTTTCTGGATCAAATAGCTGTTTTTATTGATCAAACAAAGCTGAAGTTCGGTCAAAGTCTAAAATCCAACCACTCAGAGACAGTATAACCACTGGACCAGCTGTGTTTTCTGATAGTTAACTACACTGTGTGTGGGGGCACGTTATTTCCATCCACCTGTGATGAGGAAATATGTAGAGGCATTTACAGTCAAAACATGTCAGCGTCTTTATTACAAGCAAATTAAACTGAGTGTGCTTACGCCAAGTAAACCAGTTGTTCAACTCATTGACTGAGTATTATGTATGGAAGTTTATTTTCTGTCACCACCAAAGTAATTTATCTAAGAAAAATGTGGATGTGACTCATAAATTTAGTAGTGCTGTCAATTAACATACCAAAGCTGGACTGAAATTTGACTAAACTTGTTCAGCTTTGATTAAGAAACAAGTTCTGCTACTACATTTCTCTGTTAGGAAGTTTAACTGTACTGAAGCCTGATTTACTGAGAAGAAACTTGAAGTATAGTCATTACATCAAGTATAATGAATGTTTTTTAAGTCATCACACTGGGAAGAAATCCATTCTGCTCATGAGCCGAGCAAACCTGAGCTAACTTTTCTGGCCTTGGATCCAGTCTATGCTAAAACTCAAGGACTGAGATCAAAGTTAAAGGAAACAAGACTAAGTTGTAAAGAACAAGGCTAACCATTTTTTTCACAGTTTCTTTCACCACAGGAGAGGTGATGCTGTTTATGGGTGATGTCAGAAAAGGTATGGTTTGACTTAGGGGTTAAGGCGTATGCTCCATGAACGACAGCTACAGGACTGGTACCAGTGGTTTCCAGTTCAACCCCTGGAGGTGACCCTTAGCTGCTAGACTTCTGCTCTCTGCTGACCACGTTTGCTGTTTCTCTTCAGCTGTTCTGTCTAAATGAGGCATTAAAGCCCCCCAGGAATGACTTTAAGGTAGCATTAGTTTGATTTTGTTTTGATTTATTTGATTGATCAAAAATAAGTGATCGTGATGTTTTGTGAAATAGGAAGAAGTTGGGAAGTTAAAGCTAACTGAAACTGTTTCAGGAGCTGATTGAAAAAGGAGGTTCTGCTCATGGTTTAGTGTCTGTTTGTAAAAGAAGTGGCTGATCAGGGTGTAGCAAGAATGAATCAACCCCAAAAGCTACTGAAAGGAGAAGACAAACCCATATAACTGGATTTTCAGAGGGTGAAAATGGGTTCTTGAGACTCATTTTGGTGTCAAAAAGAAATAAAATCCAGTTCCTGCATCTAGATATTTGTGGTTTGATGCCGTTCAGCGTTGGTGTGTCGCTGCAGCTGCTTCAGGAGCTTCAAGGAAAACAGCGACCAGGAAAAATCAGGCAGAGACGGAGTCAAAGAGAGCAGCCGAGTTAGTTTCAAAGCAGTTTGTGATTGAGAGCTGAAGCAGCTGCGCATGTCTGACTCACTGACTCATAGCAGGGTGTTTAGACGCTCACACACACTCATACAGATACGCAGACACACACACACACACGGTGCAGGGCTGACATACCAGAGGTGCCCCACCCCTTACATTCCTCTTCATTATCCTCCTCTTCCCTTTTCCTT